GACTCACCATTTGGTAGTCATTGGGCACAAATGTCATGCCTCTGTGTTCTCATCTGTTGTGCAAGTTCCATTACAAAAATGTCATTCTTTAGATATATTTTTTGTAATGATTCCTCATTTTTTAAATCAATAAAGAGGATGGTCAGAATGGGGGGAAAGGGGGTCAAAAATAGAATATGATATAGCAAGACCAAATTTGTTGGGTGAGTTTACATTATGAACTATATGTATTTTAGATTGTTTAGGAAATGTGGGAGGTATTCTACAAAATAAAGGTTGGATGTAAGGTACATTATTTTGCTAGTGCTTTATAAACTGCAAGATTTATTTTGCATAGAATATTAAAAGGTAATTATGTTGTGTGATGAGGTATGGACTAGAGTGGAGACAGCTGTGGCATATTTGATTTGATTTCATCATGAAGGATGAAATATCTTGGATATATATACATGAGTGAAACATTTAATACACACAAAATTATAGTTGAGAAACCTCAAGGGATGAGATCAGTTGGGAGACAAAAGCATGGGTAGGATAATATGGACATTGAAGAGTTTAAAAGATGATTCTTGGACTAATCATTCACTTTATGTAGATATGATCACATTTTTTAGTTGATAGTGGATTTGAGCCCACGAACTTCTTGTGTCTGATTTTCCCCAGTAAGTATAAATGCTGTGTTTCAGGAAAGGGATTTTTCCTTCACAGAGTTTGGAGTTGTATGGCAGTGGAACTTGAACCATCAGGTGCACAGTACACTGAATTTTAACACTGTTCCATGCAGCATCAGAATCCATCCAGGTTGCTGCCAAAAATCCAGAAACTACAGTGTTGTACAAGCTATAACAATGAATTGCTAGGAATTTTTAATTACACAATAGACTATATTTTAATGCAAAATAAAAATTCATATCAATTTCTCCCCAAAATCCAGAGAATACAGCACTGCAAAAGCTACAGTAATGGGTTGCTAGAATACCATTTAAAGACACAGAATACAATACCCACAAAATTAGAAACCTGTAAAAGCTTCCAAAGAAATGCTTGCTTTCTTTCATGCTTCTTCAAGAGGAATCAGTGTGATACATATATTAACTAACTACCCAATAGCGTTCAGCTAGCATTGACATAAAATGATGATAACATTGTTTTGTTTTTTTAAACCAGATGCATATACTGACTTTTTTGATGTTTCTTTTCCCAGATCCCAGTTTCCGGGTGGGTGTTGTGATTGACATAAAGTTGGATATCCGTCCTCGCAAGACTTCTGGAGTCCTGCTGTCAGTGCATGGTCGGCGGGACTTCCTGCTGCTTCAGATGGTGAATGGTGTTCTGAAGTTTAGTGTTGACAATGGCAAAGGGGCCATATCAGCCCAGTACACACCACCACATGAGCATTACTTCTGTGATGGAAACTGGCACACAATTCAAGGTATGAAAACTTGCATCTATAAAATGACCCCCTCCCTCCCAAATAAATGCTCAACATTAATATATATTTTAGATTATTTTTCTCACTTTCTACCATATTTAGCCTGATATCATTTTTAAATCTAATGATTTTCTTTACAAAAGTTAGCCTACATGTTAATCTTAAGTTACTGTCTAAAAGACTTCATCCCATTTCCTTAGTAGACTCTTAAGTTACATTCTACATTTCTCAGTCTGTTTCCTTTTTTGTAAGGAATGTTAGAATTATGTCATCATGCTTCTGTATGGATGTCTGTTCTTCATGATACATGGTATGAGTGACATGCCGTTGGAGATAGTTAAAACTTTTAGTCCCTGTTATCACCAGTATCAGTATGGTTGGTGTTTGAATTTGTGCTGAAAAATTGCTCATTCCCTTTCAACATGCCCAATCTTTTTTTGTGCATTAATACATTTTTTCACTCTTTAGCTGTAAAGTCAAAGAATGTGGTGACACTGTCAGTGGACAAGACATCTGTGGAGCCTGGCAT